TCTCGCTAAATGCTTTAGTTAAAACTATCGCATTCCTCTTCCTTTTTCGGTTTTTGCCTCGTTTTTTAGTCTTCTAATCTATGGGCCTTAGTGCACCCCTATGAATAGTATTAAGTTTCATAGTACGATAGCACAGTTGATAAAATGGCATCTTTCTGTTCTGATAAAAGCATGCTGCTTTGCCGCTTTTTTCTTGTTTTTGTCAAGCAAAATCACTACGATGCAGCAGAGTAGTAAGATCCTCTACACGGCCATCATTTTTGCCGGCCACTTGGCTTTTGTAGGTGATGTTTCAGGTGTTGCCGATTCCCCCAAACCTTGCTCACTTAATAAAATCATCTGCAGGGCATTCTGACCGGCATCTCCGGCCCATCACTGATTGACCTTCAGTACCTTCTTCGAAATGCCGACCACTCGGCAGTCACCTTCAGTCAGGTAGCCTTTAATCTGGCTTTTGTCCTCACCGGTTCCATTTGCGGGTCATTCAGTAAGTTTACTTTTAAAGAGTGAAAAACTTACTTTCACGTTTGCACACCTCCAGTCAGCTTCCTCTACAAGATCGGCAAACAGCAGTCCACCAACAAAGTGGGCCGTTGTCTACTGAACCGCCAACTAGTGACCGCCCTTTTGCTGATCCTCCTGGGAGGCCTCACCGCCCTCACGCCCTACATCGTCCACATAAATGTGTACTACGCAGTGGGTTTTGCCTCTGGCATTGGCTGCGGCAACTGGAACACTGTCAGCGCCACATGGCTCCTCGAGATGTGGAGTGGTCGGCGTCTGGCCTCTCTCCTGCAGGCACTCAACCTGTGCTACGGCCTGGGCAGTATTCTGGGACCGCTCATTGTTCGGCCCTATTTGAAGGGATACCTGGGCGTCGGTGAACAATTGTTGAGTGAAAAGCTAATAGCAGACCGAAGAGCCACCCTCTTTGTTCCCTTTGCCGTCTGCGGTGCTGCTGAGGCGGCAGTCGGCCTGCTGCTGTTGGTGTCCCTCTGTTCACCTATTCGCTACTACTATCACCACCCAAGGAGTCTGGCAAAAGCTGCAGCTGCAGCTGACCAGTGTGGCTCCAACGCCCTCAACCTAAAGCGACTTGAATCGCCGGCCAACCGTCGTCGTCACCTTCACATCGCCTTCTTCGCCCTCATCATGCTCCTCGTGGGCGCCTCCAATCTGGCGGAGATTGGCCACCTCAGCTTTGAGCCGGTCTTTCTGCAGTCGCCGCAAGGGGCCAACATGAGCAGCAGTTCGGCGGCAGAGATCGCCTCGGTCACAGCCACCGCATTTACTGCAGGTCGGGGTCTGAGTGTGCTGACGGCCAGCTACCTCTCCCCCGGCGCCCTCATCGCCATTCACCTTCTCACCGGCATGGCCAGCGTCACCGGGCTCATCTTCACGCAAATGAGCGGCTTCATCGTGGTGGCGCTCAACAGCGCCGCCATCGGTCTCGCCCTGTCCGCCATGACGCCGGCCATTCTCGCCTACGCCCACTCGCTGGTCGAGGTGGACGATCGCCGGAATGCCCTCTTCTTCACCGCCCTCCTCCTGCCCTCCATCTTTGGGCCGCTGGTCATTGGTCCTCACCTGGAGCGCTTTCCCTCCGTCCTTCTGCTGCTCGATCTGGCAGCGCTGGCCGCTGCACTGGCTGTCTTTCTATGCTCGGTACTACTCGTGAAGAGGTGTGCCAGCAAGTAGTTGGCTAAGGTTAGCTGCTTTAATATAAAATTTAAAAGTGTTTTCTATACTGAACGCAGCAGCAACTCAATGGAGAAAGTTAAATAAGGTGATCTTTTTGCGAACGACACACCTATAGAAGGCAAAACCGGTGATGAGAGAGACGGAGAAGATCAGCTGAGAGCTAACGGACAATTTTTCCGGAAAGTGGTACTTGTAGTGGTAGTAGTAGTCCACCTTTAGAGGGTACAGTGGCGACGATGGACTGTAGAAGACCATGTAGAAGAGGAAGTGCATCACAAGGTAGTCACAAGCGATCTGTAGGAGAGTATAATGTAATGTCAAAAAAGGAAACTGCCTTGCTTCATTGTTTACCTGAGACGCCCAGCCGTACATCTGATTGTGCCGTTTGTGAGACATTTGGCGTTGATTGCTCGTCGATGCTCCAATGCCAGTCGCCTCCAGAGCAACTACTCCCAGCGTCAACGCCTGGCAAGTGCAAATAAACGTGCTGACCACCAGGCGAAATGAGCCAAGGACAATTGCACCGAAGATCATCTCCTGCTCGTAGTAGGCATCATTCGATATGTTTGAAATGTTTTGATAAACGGTGAGAAACTGCAAAAAACCTTCGCAGTCTACAAGAAGGCTGTAAATGGAAACCTTTTTAAGAAGGCGCCAGAAGTACGGGTTTCGCGTTAAGAAAAAGGCATTCTACGAGTGATAAAGGCGTTTTTAAGTTTGATGATACACCAATTACATGCGTGCCAACTCACCAGGCACTTGTGCTTGTACAGAAGAATGGCACCAACAGGAAGGTAGTAAAACATTGCCAGAAAGTAGTACAAGCTAAACCAGAAGTTGTCGTAGAAGCAAAAAGTGGTGTCGCACATTGAGCAGTTGAACTTGCAGAAGCAGAACAACGAACAACTGACAAAAAACAATGTGCCGTAGATTAGAAAACTTATACCAATCATGAAGGTATAAATTTCTGTTACAATCTTCATGCCATCATCAGTCATGACGGTGGTGGTTGGAAGTAAAAGAAAACAAATTAACAGCAACTTGAGAACGGTAAACGAAACTTGTTTGATGATGACGTGTTTTCAAAAGTTTCCTGACGTAAACAGATCAGCACTGTGAATCATTGTTTTTGTTGAACAGTTTTCTAGTTTTCAAAACAATTTTAGTAATAAAATCCAAGAAAGATGTTTAAAACAAAGCAGTAGTATACAGTAATTAAATTACAAAGTTGAAAAAGGTGACCTCCTTGCGAACGGCACTGACGTAGAAAGCAAAACCAGCAATCATAAAGGCGGAAAAGAACAGCTGAGAACTGGTGGACAGCTTTTCCGGATAGTGGTAGAACTCGTCAGACTTCAGGGCGTACAGTGGCGACGAGCGACTGTAGAAGATCATGTAGAGGAGGTAGTGCAGCACAAAATAGTCACAGCCAATCTGTTGAAAAAAAAGTTAAAAAGCATTTAAGGTTTGAAACAAGGTAGAGTTTGTTATTGATTGTTTACCTGACTCGCCCAGCCGTACAGCCGGTTGAGTCGAAGTCGATTGACGGAGAGTCCGTGTCCAGTGACCAGGCTCCCGCCAGAGGATCCTCTGCTGGTTGAGCCGATGCCGGTCACCTCTCGGGCGACTGCCTCCAGCGACATCGACAAATGACTGATGGCGAAGAGGCTCACTGACCAGCGCATGACGCCCAGCAGTACGAAGGCGTAGATTTCCTGCTGCTCGGACAGCCCCTCCACCTGGTACTCAATGTCACGGCTGACGTAGATGAACTGGAGGACGCCCTCGCACTCAATCAGAAAGCAGAAGATGGCCATCATCTTGAGAAGGCGCCAGAAAAGCGGGTTTCGCGTTGAGGAGAAGATTTTCTGAAAATGTGTGTAAGTTTGATGATTTTAATCCGAGTGTACTCACTCACCAGATACTTGTCCTTTGTCATAAGAGTAGCGCCGACGAGAAGAAAGTACAACATTGACAGTAGGTAGTACCAGCCAAACCAAAAGTTGTCGTAGAAGAAGAAACTGGTGCCGCTCATTGAGCCCTTAAACTTGAAGTAGCGGTACACCTGATCAGAGACCATATACAAAACGCCTAAAAGGAGGTAGTTCAAGGCGAGTTTGGACACTGGTTTTAAAGTCATTGTGGTGGTGATAACTAAAGTTGAAAGAGAAGAAACGAACCAAAACTTGAAAACGGTAAGTGAATCGTGTTTGAGGATGACGTGTTTACAAAAGTTACCAACTCGTCAGCGACTTTGCAGTGAATCATTGCTTCAATGTTCGAATTTCTGAACGTAAACAATTCTGAAAAACCTTTAGTACAGTTTTAAAACAGATTGCATTTTTCAGTACACACTTTAACCTTTTTTCAATCAGCCATCATGAGTGCCACCGGACAGCAGCCCACCAGAAGCATCATTCGCTCAATGCCAGGCAATGCACCAAACGGCCACTCGGTGGTCAGCATCAAGTCAGAGGCTGGCTACGAGGAGCGCTACCAGGTTCAAGTTTCAAAGCGGAAGTACAGCTTCTCCCGCAGCGTCATTCAGTCTCAGGTACCAACGTTGAATCAAGTCTCCTGTTTCCTCCTTTTTCAATCCAAATAACCCCCTATCACTTTAGGTGAAGCAAATACTGACCAGCGAGGGACCAAAGAGCACGGAGAAGGAAGCAAAGCAGTTTGCCCTGTACACTATCGACACAAAAGCGCCCGTCTACCAGGAATCCAATCTAAAGATGTACCGCGTCCGCTACGCCGAGATACCCGAGTACCCGACGATGGTGCGCATCTACTCGCTCCAGGAGATGCCGCCCACTTCCATGTACCTGAAGATACTGCGCCACCTCGGTCGGAAGCAGCACAAACTGGTCTTCACGCTGGACATCTTTGTCGACGCCACCTCCGTCTACATCTTCCAGGAGTACGTCTCCACGGGCAACATGGTGGAGTTCCTCGAGAAGAGCCCCATCGTCTCCGAGGCGCAGGCGGCCGTCTGGGCAAAGCAGCTTTTTGAGGCGCTCGACTTTCTCGCCGACCAAGGCCTCGTCCACCGGAGCATCACCCCAAATCATCTGCTGGTGAAGAAGGTCGGGGCGGAGTGCTGCATCAAGCTGACCGGCTTCAAGCAGACGGCCATCTACCTGGGCGGCGCAGCACTGGACGACATCGCCTACCTGCCCTGCTGGCCAGCCTCCCAACAACCCTCGGACGGGCCAAACTTTCAGGCACCCGAGGTGTACGGCAATCCGTCTGCCGGTGAGCACTTCAACCCTCTGCTCGCGGACATCTGGTCCTTCGGTGCAAACGTGTACTTTTTCCTGGCGAAGCAGTACCCCTACAACATCGGCGGCGGCCTGGCGGACCTCGACGCCGAGGTGCTCGCCAACATTCACCACCAACTGTCGACGGTGAGCGGCGATGGGCAGAACTTTCTGTACAGTACGATGCGAGCCAATGCCAACAATCGAATGCCCTTTCACTTCATTGTGAAGCACCCGTGGATGCACTCGGTGCGATCACATGTGAGTGCGGTGGTTGATGAGGAGAATTCTAAAATCTCAGCTTAAAACCTCTCTCATTCTCACAGTTAACTACCAGCACCGTCATGGAAACGCCCTACAAGAGAATGGAAAAAGTCAAAGTGGCCAAATCGGGGAGGAAAACGGCGGACAAAGGAAGTGTCTCGCCAAAGACGGAAACCAAAACGGAAAAGTCATCTTCCTCAAAACATCGATCACCAGGATCATCCAGCAGCAGTCACTCTTCAGGTGGTGCCCACGGTCCGTCGCCAAAGTCACCGAAAGGTGGAATGAAAGTCAAGACAAAAATAAAGGTGAAGAGCAAAATGGCCAAAAGCGGAGGAGGGACTAGTGCCAAGTTTTGAAAGTCGAGTTCAATAGCATTGATGCGGTAGTCTTAGCAATTGTTATTACATTGGCGCTCACATTAAACATTGAACAATAAAAAGATTTTTACATTGCTCTTAGTCATCTACCGAGGTCAAGCCGGTCGACCTGCTCGAAGACTCTGAAGGTCGTTCTTTTTTCCGCCGTGGATTGCTTCTGTAAACGTAGATTTGTTCGGCAAAAAGTGCAACTCCCTAAAAATAAATGTTTACAAAAACTGAATATCGGCACAAAACCATTTTACCTGTGTGAAATTGAGGGCAATGAAAAAATAAGAGAAAAAGGTGCCCATCTGCTCGTTGATGTAGAAAACGTACAGCAACCATGGAAAGCCAAAGTTGAAGAGCAGAATTGCAATCAGATACCAGTTGACAAGAGGGCCCTGTTTGTTCCGTGCTGCTTTTCCTCCACTAAACCTTTTACTAATTTGCATCTGGACCTGCCTGCTTTGTGTTGGAACAATGGATAGAATAGCACCAAGAAGGCAACAGTTGATAAGTATCTGTGAAATAAAAAGTGTAAAGATGAATTGAAAAACAGAAAAAACTTTTATAGGTACAATTGCTGTCACAGGAGCGACAAAAAACCAAACATGTTTGGGATACTTTGAAGAGGATATCCAGCAACTGTTGATAAGCAAACAAATGTTTAGAAAATGCAAATTTTACAAAAACATGAAACTTACAAATATTCGCCAGTTAAAGATTTTGACATTTCCATCATGTTCCGTTCTGTTTCAACTGCATAAATGTAGATCATTGAAACGATTATGAATAGCAATGGAAAAAAATAGGCAAAAATAGCAAAGTTGCAAAAAGAAACGTAATTGAACAGGTGTCGTTTTGAAGTAGACAAGTAAAGATGAATGCTCAACATTAATGTAAAGTTGAATGCAGTTAAAAGTGAATAGAGAAGGAAAAGGGATATGATCTTGCAAATAATTTGACTTTCTGTCCGATCCATGCCAAACATAATCAGTAAATGAGAAATTAACAACCAAACGATGACATTTAAATTAAGCCAAAATCGTTTTGTTTTCACTTTGAACTGATCATCGTAGAGCATATATTTTTTGCGATTAAATTTCAGTGTAAATAAAATTGATGCAAAAAGAAAGAGACAGTTGATTGTAGAACTAATGTAAGTGAGAATTGATTTTGCAAAACTTGGCTTTTCTCGGTTGCTGACATCTGCGAGTGCGGCAAAATCGGTTAGATGATTGCATTCACAGACAGTGCTGCTTCGATTGGACAGTCGTCGATTGACTTGACAACCTTTTGTAGACCAGTGGTTTGTACTTAGGTTCCAAAAAGAACACCGAGGCTGGTCTCGAAAAACTAGACGAAAACTGTGTCGAGCTCTGATAAAAATGTGAGTTAATTTTTAATAAACAATGCTACATTACTTACACAAACATCAGTTTATGACCGTTTTTCAAGTTTACAGATTCCCTTTCTTTTTCAACAGTAATAGAAAGGATTGCTGAATTTGGGAGGAAACTGCCACTGGAAAGGTACTGAGAAATGTTGCTCATAAGAACTGCTGAGGTTGCAATTTTATCGAGGGGTTTTCCCGCAGAAACATTTGTGAAATCAAAATATGCACTAATTGGCATTTTAATTGTCGCAGAATTGTTAAAAACAAAGTGAATATGATTTGATTCATTTAAAACAAACGAATTTGTATGCATTTCAATACTGCTAAATGACAGCACTGTTAATTTGCCTGATTGTTTAGCGTTCATCAAAACAGACAAACTTGACACCGTTTTAAATATTTTTGATGAAATATTTTTCTGTTCTGAAACGCTTAAGTTTTGCCAAACATTTTTCGGAGCTTCTATTAACTGGTTAAAACTGTTTAGCGATGAATTAGTAATTTTATGTGCTAACGTTTTATTGACTTTGGCAATAGTCTCATCGTTTGAAGTTATACTTGAAACAAGATCAGTTAGCTGTGTCAATGTTTCTTTCCATTGGTCAGTTGAATTTATGCTTTCTTTTGTGATGTTTTTTAAAACATTATTAATTTTATTAGAAATTTTATTTACATTTAAATCTGGTGGTTGAGTTTGATCAATTGGTGGCTGAGTCGTTGTTGTCAAATTTGTTATTTTTGTTGATGATAGTGGTGATGTTGAAAATGTATGCTTTATTGTTGATGTTGTGCTAGGTTGAAAATAAAAGTTGTCAACTAAAGCAAAGCTTCCCAAACGATTGCAGTAACAAGAAGTTTCACGGTCATTTGAATTATAAGAAGTAGTGCATTGAGTTAAATTCCATTTAAGATTCCAAGTGATGCATTTCCCAACACCGTGATTGTTCACAGAGAGAAAAAGTTGCCAATTCTCNAAATTCCATTTAAGATTCCAAGTGATGCATTTCCCAACACCGTGATTGTTATCATGTTTTAAAGTAAATTTTAATTTATGTAAATTTATTAGCTGATTTTTTTGAGTAAATCCAAAATAAACACTCACTATCGATGGATAAATTAATTCTTTAATTGGTGACATGTACTGACGTAAATTTAATAATTTAACAGAAGTTATTGCAAAATTGTAAGTTTTTTTAAAATCAGACTTTGGTTGATTTATTGCATCAACTGGCAAATAAATACTTTCGTTTTCAAAATCAATAGAAATGTTTTTAAAAAAATTAAATTCTACTGTTTTAGAAATAATATTCCTATGTAATTGTAAGTAAAAATGCAAATCAAAATTTTATTTTTAGATATTTTGCTAATTAAAATAGGATTTAGTTAACAACATTTGACAAACCTTAATTCTATAATGCCAAATTGAGTGTAGTAATTTATCAAAGTTGCTGTTTTTTTAGATATGTTTATAAATACCATTCCAAAATAAATTTTATCATGATCAGTCATTTTCATCCATGCGTTTGTGAATGGCAAAAGAATATTGAGAATTTTATGAATTGAAAAAGTAATACTTTTTACAATGGTGTAATTTAATAAAGTTTTTTTGTTTTCCAAAATAGAGCTTTGAATGTCTAACTCATTAAGGTAAGCTTTCCATAATTCTACATTAATTTGCAAGTTTTTATCACTTACATTTTTAAAAATTTCTTCAACTTTATTAATTGCATATTTTGTTTCTGTAAATTTTTTGAATTTTAATTATCAATAATTATTTAAAAATAATGCAACTTACCTATAAATTCTGGAGACAAAGTTGTAGTTTTCTCATTTTTTGTAATTTTATTTGTTGTTAAAAAATAAGCACAATCTTTTATAAAAAATAAAAATAAAATTACAATTGTTTTAAAAATTATTTTTATGTATAATTGCATTTTGAGTTTTAATTTTTAAAAAAATAATTGTGAATTTGTGTATTTTTATCAATTTAAAAATATTTTTTAAATTTTATTTTTTAAATGTACAAAAACAATTACACTAAATTCAAAAAACAATTATTTATTGAGTTTTCAAAAGTAAAATGGAAATAGTTAAACATAAAAAATGCAATTTAAAAAAATTATGCAACAGATGGTCTCAAGTAGACATTGTTTTCCAAACAATGTTTTTACCTTTTTCAACATTTTTAAGTAAATAAAAATTCTTATCATGTTAAACATTTTCCCATTTGATATACTTTTGTTAAGTCAATATTTGAAAAAGACTGTTTTATGAGAAATTGCTTTTTTCATGATATTTAATTATCATCATTATTTATACCATTTGATTAACTGCGACAGTGTGCCAGAGGCTCTCTGAGCTGATGGACTCGTGTGCGGTGGTTTCCTCCGGGCTCTCCGGTTTCCCCACCAAGCGAGGAGGAGTAGGGGGAGGCTTGCCTCCCGGGACAGGCCCATTGGTCAGGCCGCCAGCACCTTCGGGTGTTCCCGATGATCTATCCCCAAGCCCCCCGCGACCCCCAGCCTTCTGGGGACCAAATCTGGTCTGTAAACCGGGGCTCGACCAGGGCCACCTCCCCTGTATACAGGATAGCAAAGGTAACTTTGAGGGGTGGTAGTGAGTAAGAAATAAAAAAAATTTATATCATTTGATAAGTTAAAAATGTACGTTTAACAATACTTGATTTTTTTTGTTTATTTTTACAATTTTAAACACAATTTTTTACACAATTAAAGTTTTTAAACACAAGTTGTTTTTAGTGATTTGTTGAAGACAACTTAGTTGACCGTGTATCCGATTGTCGCCTTCTTTTTAATGGGTTATTCCAATAAACGTAAAATTGTTCTGCAAAAAGTGCAAGTCCCTAATTGAAAAATGTTAGTTTTTTAACAACTTAAAAAAATAAATGAGTTGCATACTTGTGTCCCATTGATAATGATAAAAAAGTAGGAGAAAAATGCGGCCATTTGTTCGTTAATGTAAAAAACGTACAACAACCAAGGAAAACCAAAGTTAAAGAGGAGAATGATCACCAAATACCAGTTAACTAATTGGCTTTCCTTGCTTCCTCCTCCTGCTCCTTTTTTCCCATTGACTTTTACTTGAACTTGAACTTGCTTTTTTTGCATTTTCACTATAGAAAAAAGAATTGCCCCAAGAAGTGAGCAATTTGCAACTATGATAATTGTTACTGGAGCAACAAAAATCCATATGTGACCCGGATACTGCGAGGAGGATATCCAACAACTGTTTAAAAATATTCAAATAAAAAGTGTTATAAAACA